GTCAATCTTGCAAATTGTTCGGTCCTGCGCATAGGATCAAGCACTCCCACAACTTCTTACGTACTTGGCGGAACTGTAGTGCGTCAAGTGACTGAACAACCTGACTTGGCTATCTCGTTATCCGCTGACTTCAAATCCAGCGAGAACTGGACAAATGCTACCCGTAAGGGTTTCCGAATGCTGTGGATGATCCGCAGGTCACTCGGCATTATAACAAATGAAATGTTCGTTATATTGTTCTCAGCCTTCGTCAGGCCATACTTGGAGTACTGCGTGCAGGCCTGTCCTCCATGCTTGGTACGCGATAAGATGACACTTGAACGAGTTCTGAGGGTTGGTACGAAAATGGTACAAGGATTGAGGCATCTCTCGTATCCCGATAGGCTGCTCAGGTTGCAGATGTTTTCGTTGCACTATAGGCGCCTTCGGGGAGACCTGATTCTTATGTACCGTATATTGACCAATAATATGGGGCCTGATCTAACTGGACTGTTCCAGCCGGCTCAGATGTCATCTCTTCGTGGTCACCCTCTGAAGTTGCATAAGCCTAGATCTGATCAAGTTAGAGCTGACGTTCGCTTGTCACGCAGGGTCATCGACTCATGGAACGCACTACCCAGCTAAGTAGTGTTAGCACCAACGGTGAAGGAGTTTGAACATCGACCCGACGCCCTTGGGTTACAGTTTCAGACCTTTCCGTTTAGTTCTTAACTTTTACATCTATTTCCTTGGCTCCTCACATCTATTACTATTATTGTCTTAACCACACATTCTCTCCTGTACTACAATTACCATTATTTTGTTTTTGTTGGTTCCCTTCTCTTAACCTTTATTCTATTCACGTGGCCGGTACAGTGGGGACTGCTAGTGCAGGCCGCGTGGGCATTGATTGGTTGACCGTTATGTGATTCGTGTGTATTGCTTTGACTCCTCTCGGCTCCAAACCGCTCCCGCGAACTCCATCCTGGTTCAACGACGCATTGAAGAAGGAATACACATGGGAATTCTCCTACCGTTCCTGTCCAAATTGAAATTGAACTTAATCTTGACTCTGGTCCTGTTCTTATGACCAGTGGGGTTCCACAAGGCTCCGTATTTGGTTCCGAACTATTCAAAATCTTTATCAACCATCTCCCGGAGGTGCTCCAAATCGACTGCTTGATCTATGCTGATGATCTTAAACTTCAACCTGAAGTATCCAGGCTTGAAGATGCTGACAGATTGCAGCTGGCGCTCCAGCTGCTGCACGATTGGTCAGTCAAGTGGCAAATGCCTATCAATCGTGAAAAATGCTGTGTCCTCCCGATCGGTGATCAGGACGCTTTCGGTGCTTACCACAGCGGTGGTTTTCTGTTGAAGAAGGTGGTTGGTGAGAAGGATTTGGGTGTACTAATTTCTCCAGACCTAAGAACAACCCAGGACACCTTGCGGAAGGTAGCATCTGCCACCAGGATGCTCTGTGCCATACGAAGGTTGTTTTACAAATAGACTCCACAGAACTTCAGGATCCTGTTTTCCTCCCACGTTCGTCCAATACTGGAATACGGCCTACCTGCCATATACCTGCTCACGAAGTTTGAACGTGATTTAATAGAGAAGGTTCAGAGGCGCAGATCCAAGTCCGTGTCTATGCTACGTGTTTTACCTTATCCCGTTCGTCTCCAATGTATGAACTTATTTACTCTGGACTACCGCCGTCGCCGTGGTGATATGACCTATACTAGACGCATTTTAAGGGGCGATTTGGGAAAGGAGGTGCTGCAGTTCTTCCAGCTCAACACAGATTGCTTAACACGGGGCCACAGCTTGAAAATTTTCAAACCTCGGCGGAACCATATCCGGTCCGATATCTCGTTATCAACACGGGTTGTGAATGAGTGGAACAATCTTTCGGAATGTGGGGTAAGTGCCAAGACAGAGGAATGTTTGAAAGAACGATTGGACAAGTACATGCTGAGCATGCCTGGATTCCGCTGTTTTTGCCGCAGCTGCAACAATCCCTCAGGGTACACAGTTTAGCATCGACAGGTCATCCAGCCAATGAACGGGAGGTGATGAAGCTGACACGGGTCTTCCCTTCTGCTCTCTACAACTCTATGAACTCTATGAACTCCATCGCTGACGGGAAGGGCTTATTTCCGTATTGGCGGGAAAGGGTTTCGCTACCATTGTCCTCGGTAACATCCAAGTTAATTTGAGTGGCTGAGGAGTATATTCTTAATTTTGGTGGTAGTAATGTGTGGGAAATAGAAGATAATACCATATGGATTTGCTTCGTGAAAACGATTATGATAAATTAAAGTGATTACTACAGGTGTAGTTGAAGTTCACAGCATAATCGAAAGCAGGAAATGGTAAATAAAAATGGTGTGAACGGCTGTTTTATGGAGCAAATAAGTGTTAATGCAATTGTTTCATGTATGTAAAGTTTATGTTTGCGGTAACTTACTTGCTTGGATAAGGGTATACATATCTCTTGTCTGATTATTTTACTTTTTGAAATCGCGATGAACGAAAGCGATATTTACAACTAATAAATCTTACCAACTGCCATTTTTTGTATGTACTTAAGCACAAAGCGACGTATACACATCTCCTTCAAATCCAGTTATGAAAGCATCACCATTTAGCCAGGTGTACCGGAACACAAAGTCCCTCCAGGCCATTTTTCATGTCAAAAATTAGCCACTTTCACCGCGGACCTTGGCTGTATTTATAGGTCTCTTAATGACCTTCGACTTTTAGAATTGGAAAGAAAACTACCAAGATTAATGGTTCTCTATAATTTTGGCCGAGGTGCCAGGTATTTTGTATTCGCATGCAGAACTTAGAACATTCCAGAACTATCGACATCGATGTGATAATCGTTAATAATAACAAGGAGAAAGCAACCTTGGCATCGTGTGGCCAAGGTCCAGCCACATGTGTCACCAAGACTAAGACTAAGTCTTTGAATAAATCTGAGCTTCCATTTTCTCAGTCACAAATGACGATAATTCTCAGCAGAATTTCCGAGCTGGAAAAAGTGATAAAGGAAAATCTACCATCCCGTAAGCCACCAACCCCAGAGCGTATTCAGCCATCTCGTGACCGCTGTCTCATCATCGTGAACGCGGCGCAATCGGACAAGGCTACCTCGGCGGAGCGAATGTTGGATGATCAAATACTGCTCGAGCGGATGATTTCTCTACTGTTTGATGCAGTCGAACAGGAAATAAACATTGTCTCTGCCTTCCCTCTCGGTAAGAAGAAGGAAAATTCCTCCAAAGTTCGACCTCAAGATTGTTTGCAGAAACGAAGAAGAGTGTGCGCGCATCCTTCGACGGACTCCACGTCTCAAAGGTGAACCTTTCTACGTGTTACGAGACCTCTTTTCCGAGGACCGAATTAAAATGAAGAAGGCCAAGGTTACCCTATTTCACCTTTCCTCTTCAGTTCTGCCATCGATGTCGCCAAGGAGCACTGGAAGGTGTGCAGAACTGCTGTGTTGAGTTCCTCCCTGGAGACAGAGTCACGGAGTTGGACTACGCCGATGATATCGCCTTGCTGGGGAACGACCCACAAACCGTCCAGAGCGCTTTGGACCGCTTAGCGATGGAGGCGTCTAACTACGGCTTACACTTCACTCCGGAAAAATGTAAAACGCTGCTCCAGGGTTGTCAGGTGCCTGAAAATGCGCTCACCATTGCTGGACATGTTCTGGAGCAAGTCCTCTGCTTTACTTATCACGGGAGTTGCATCACGGCCGGTGTCGGTGTTAGAGATGAAGTCTCATAACGGATTGTAAACGCCCGCCTTGCACTCATCAAACTGAGACACCTATGTCGTCGTCGTGATGTCAGTCTCAAACTCAAGAGCATGATGTACAATGCTTCCGTCCTTGCAGTACTCTTGTACGGCTGTGAGACGGCCTATTCCCTCGGAAGACATGAAGCGGTTGTCAGGCCTTGACAATCGCTGTCTACGAAGTATTGCTCCGGTGTGGTGGCAAAATCAAGTAAGCAACGCAGAGATCCGAGACCGAGTGCTTGGAGCGAGTGATGCCAATCTTCAGAACGTTATTCTCCAACACCGCATGCGTTTGCTTGGCCACGTACTGCTCATCCTGGTCTATCGCCTTACTCGCCGAAGCTTATTTGCGCTCCCCGGAAGTCATTGGAAAGTGCCGCGGTAGACAACCCATGATGTGGAGAAGGAGCATGAGAACTGCAACCTCAAGCGTACCATCTCTCGGATGGGTCCGCCTTCCAGGTTGGGAGCCACGTGTTTCGGACTGCTAGTGGTTAGAAGCGTTGGAACCTGTGGCCCGCAACCTGCATCAGTGGAGACATTGCTGTTCAACCGCGTTATGTATTAACGTCTCATGGAACATAAAACTTCAAACACAAAAATCCCAAAGTCTCTTTTGTACAACCAAAAAAGTTTTTTGTTCGTCGCAATCAGCCGACAATTCAGATATGTCGACCAGCTATCCGGAAAAGCACCTGTAGCGACCTGGAGATTCCCCCGTATGACTGTGTAAACTATTCTAAAATACATTCAAATTATAGCTTTCTTATGTATTAGGGAACTAGGCGGTTTGCCTGTTGGAACGTTGTTCCCGTTTGTTGAAAACACGAACGCCATCTCCGCCTTTGGCGCGCGCGACTCGATTGCGAACGACGCTCTGTCAACGCACTCGACGCCATCGACATTCTCCCTAGCTAGCTCTCTCCGGGTGCCCTATTTTTAGCATTAGCTAACGCTCCTCCCGTCCAATAAACTTTTCCCTAGCTTACTGTTGTGTCTTCTATCCATTATTTTTGGTTGGCCGTCTAGTCGCGTACCGGATATATAGCGCACGATCTACGCGCTATAATTGGTGACCCCGAAAAAAAAACTATTTTTGGTGAGTTCGGTACTAATATTTTTTTCAGATCCGGTTATTTATTCTGTCTACCTTTCTACTTTTTCTCTTTACTATTTGTGTTCACATTCACACGCTCCGGAATTATTTCACCATGAAGGTCAGTCGCCCAGATTCTGACGATCAGGTTTGTGGGTTCCGTTTCCCTCTCCCGCCTTTCCGAGAGACTAACCCTAAGGCCTGGTTTAACCAGCTAGAGTCCATTTTTTCGTTACATGGCGTTAACTCTGACAGCGTCAAATTTCACTGCGTTGTCGCCGCGCTTCCCCCGCAAGTCGTCGATGACCTCGACGACATCTTGGAACTTCCGGAACATCAGAAAAGTTACGATGAGCTTAAGGCCGTCGTCTTAAAGCGATTTGGCATATCAGACCATGCTCGCGTCACGCAGCTTCTTAATGAAACCGAGCTAGGGGATCGAAAGCCTTCGCAGTTGCTGCACAAGATGCAAGCTCTAGCTAAGCCTCTCGCTGTTGGCGACTCTTTCCTTAAAGAGATGTGGCTTCGTTGCCTGCCACGTGACATGCGCAATCCCTTGTATGCAAACGATGCGCCTCTTCCTCAGCTCGCCGATATTGCCGACCGTATTTGGGAATCCAACGCCCAAATATCTCAGGTTCAGTCTACCTCCAGTACAGAGGTAGCAGAACTAAGAGCGCAAGTATCCGCATTGACCAACCGACTAGAGAAGCTAACACAATCCGGATCCAACCGCCGAAATCGTCCCAGTAGTCGCAGTCCTCCTAGATCACGTTCGAAATCTCCCCCTAGGTCAAGCTATTGCTGGTACCACGAGCGATTTGGTCATCAGGCCAGATCGTGTCGCCCACCTTGTTCTTTCAAGCGCAACATGCAGGGAAACGGGTAGGCCAGCACGTAGGGGCGACGGACGTTGCTGGCTGCCCCAGTCGCCTTTTCTTTGTCACCGATCGCAGTACGGGAGTACGCTATCTCGTTGACACCGGCGCAGAAGTCAGCGTTATCCCACGTGATTCTAATGACGTTATCGAAGAGGCGACCGGTTCTTTGCGCGCTGCAAACGGCACCACCATTCGCGTGTATGGTCAACGCTCGCGCACGCTTAATCTAAACCTACGACGTTCATTTAAATGGATCTTCCTCGTCGCAGATGTCCAGACGCCAATTCTTGGCCTTGACTTTCTGCAGCACTTCGATTTACTTGTTGACGCGAAGCAACGCCGTCTGATCGACCGTCAAACAAACCTGGCAGTTATAGGTACTTTGACCGACATAGAGTCAATCAGTCCTGTATACGCCAACCTGTCAAGCTCGCCTATCGGTCAGATGCTTAATACGAAGTTCCCGCAAGTCTTTCGTGCAATGACACCGTTTTCATCCGCCACTGAGGCCGCGAAACATTATATCGTCACGAAAGGTCCGCCTGTTTTTGCCAAAGCCAGGCGAATGACCCCTGACAAGTTGAAAATTGCTCGCGCAGAATTCGAGCACATGCTTGAACTAGGCATCGTTCGCCCGTCTAACAGTCCCTGGGCGTCGCCGCTCCACATGGTGCCCAAAAAGTCAGGAGACTGGCGTCCATGTGGTGATTACCGCGCGCTCAATAACGTTACTGTTCCCGACCGATATCCGATTCCTCACATTCAGGACATCACGGCAAGCCTGCGCGGCACCCGTGTGTTCTCAAAAATCGATCTGGTTCGCGCGTATCACCAGATTCCAGTCGCTGAGGAAGACATACCGAAGACTGCCGTAATCACGCCTTTTGGGCTGTTCGAATTTTTGCGTATGCCGTTCGGTCTTCGCAACGCAGCCCAGACTTTTCAACGACTCATCGATTCAGTCACTAGAGGTCTAAATTTCGTCTATGCATACATCGACGATATCCTAGTTGCCAGCGCCTCTGAAGAACAGCACGCAGAACATCTCAAAATACTTTTCGATAGGCTGGCCGCTAATAGCATCACTGTCAACCCCGACAAATGCGTATTTCAGCAGCCTTCCATCGAATTCCTTGGCCACCATATTGATCAGTATGGCATACGGCCTCTAGACGATAGAGTCCGCGCCATCAGAGACTTTCCGGTTCCGACTACGTTAGCCGCTATTCGCCGTTTTAACGGCATGCTCAACTATTATCGACGTTTTCTTCCACACTGTGCCAATTTGCTAAGTCCACTAACCGACCTACTTCGTGGACGTAAAAACGGTCAGGTGGAACTGACTGCCGCTGCTGCTGAAGCTTTTAAAGCCAGCAAAGAAGCCTTAGCCAAAGCCGTTATGCTTCATCATTTCGATCCGAATGCTCCACTCAGTGTTGCTGTTGACGCATCAGACACCGCCATTGGCGCCGTCCTACAGCAACATACAAATGGGAGCTGGAAACCTCTTGCATTCTACTCTAGACGCCTACAACCCGCCGAAGTCAAGTACAGCACGTTCAGTCGCGAACTGCTAGCCGTTTACTCTACAGTTCGACATTTCCGACACGTCCTCGAAGGTAACACCTTCATTATCTTCACCGATCACAAGCCGCTTATCTACGCATTCCGAAATCAATCAGCTCGACACTCACCACGTGAGATTCGTCAGCTGGATTTCATTGCTCAATTCTCGACTGATATCCGACACATTTCTGGCCAACAAAACGTCGTCGCTGATGCTCTTTCAAGAGTATCTGCGATTGGTCCTGCCGGGCAGGCAATCGATTTGTCTGCTATGGCCGCCGCGCAATCAAACGACCAAACTTTTTCGAAACTCCGCGATTCTTCTTTGAAGATATCCCCGCACCCTCTGCCGTCATCTGATGGTACCATTTTATGCGACACATCTACCGGACGACCTCGACCCGTCGTTCCAGAAACTTTTCGCCGTATCGTTTTCGACACCCTCCACAATATCGCCCACCCAGGCATTAAAGCTACTGCTAAGCTTGTCTCTGAGAGATACGTTTGGCCGGGGATGCAACGCGATCTTACGCGCTGGGCACGCAGCTGTCTCACCTGCCAGCAAGCCAAGATTCAGCGGCACGTGTCCGCTCCGCTTGGTCGCTTTCCGTCCGTTTCAGCGCGATTTGCCCATGTCCATCTCGACATAGTGGGACCACTGGCCCCGTCCAAAGGAATGGTCTATATTTTGACCATGATCGATCGTTGCACCCGTTGGCCCGAAGCCGTTCCCATCCCTGACGTAGCTGCGGAAACCGTAACACGCGCTTTTGTCGAGCGCTGGGTCGCTTCACACGGCTGTCCAGCCACAGTGACTACAGACCGCGGTCCGCAATTCGAATCTACGACCTTTAACGATCTCCTTAAACTCATTGGATGCCAACGCATTCGCACGACCGCCTATCATCCGCAAGCGAACGGCATGGTGGAACGTTTCCACCGACAGTTGAAAGCCTCACTTAGCGCCGCCAATGCGCTGAGTTGGACTGAGGTGCTGCCTATGGTCCTCCTTGGGATCCGATCAGCCCTAAAGGCCGATCTACGTACGTCTAGCGCCGAGTTAGTATATGGACAACCACTGCGTTTACCTGGCGATTTCTTCTCCGTTAGTCCCAGAATTACTCGTTACGACGCAAATTATGCACGTCAGCTAGCCACGAGCATGCGTCAGTACAAGCTTCCCGACGTTAGAGAACAACAACGTAAATCTTTTATTCCACAAGACCTGCAGCATTGTCCGTTCGTTTTTCTCCGCCTCGATGGTCTCCGCAGACCACTGGAGCGACCTTACGAAGGTCCTTTCAAGGTCCTGCAGCGTAAGGACCGCGTTTTTATCATCGACCGTCACGGTAAACGAGAAGCCGTTACGATTGACCGTCTCAAGGTTGCCCACGTGGAACCTGAGCTCGACGAAGACCCTTACTCGTCTTCTGACGAATCAACGCAGCCTATGATGGAAGACTCGACTGCTTCCAACATCCCTGACCCCAAGTATCACGCTCCATCCAAGCCTTCTACTTCAGCTCCGCCGCTTCCCATCGAACCAACTGCCACGTCTTCAGCAGTTCCTCCAATTTTGCGATCCGATAGGACGTCTAAGACCACGCCTTCCTCTGATTCGAACAAGTCGACTAGGTCGGGTAGACGCGTTCATTGGCCAGCTCGATTAAGGGATTAGCGTTCCTTTCACTTTTCTTATTGCTTTTCTTTTCCCTTTTGGCCAACAACATACGAACCCCCCAAAAGCTTTTGAAAACGCCAAAAAAACCGACAAAAGTTTTTTTTGAAAACCCAAAAAGAACGCAAAATGTTTTGAAAACCCAAAAAAGAACAAAACGTTTTGAAAACACAAAAAGAGCTGCGTTTTGCCTGACGCCTACCTCATCCGGTAAGTGTCACTCTTGCTTTTGCCCTCGCCTCCACCGTCACTGCTCTTGTTTCCGTTTATCTTCCATGTATGAACCGGAGGAGATGCCGAGGCTGAAGCGAACACTTGACCTTCACGAACTCGCGAACATTTAACGCTTACGAACTTCCCCCATTTTGTGTTTTTGGCACCGTTAGGGAGGACACGGGTGGGAGCCCGCTAGGGTCCGATCGCCTGGTTCTCCCCCAGCAGCTGCATCAGGTTTCACTACCTGGTCTCGCAGAAGGCTGGCCCGCGACGGACAGTCCTCACGTAGATCGAAGGGTCACCCACGGTTTCCCTTCTAGGAGGGGGGCTGTGTAGCGACCTGGAGATTCCCCCGTATGACTGTGTAAACTATTCTAAAATACATTCAAATTATAGCTTTCTTATGTATTAGGGAACTAGGCGGTTTGCCTGTTGGAACGTTGTTCCCGTTTGTTGAAAACACGAACGCCATCTCCGCCTTTGGCGCGCGCGACTCGATTGCGAACGACGCTCTGTCAACGCACTCGACGCCATCGACATTCTCCCTAGCTAGCTCTCTCCGGGTGCCCTATTTTTAGCATTAGCTAACGCTCCTCCCGTCCAATAAACTTTTCCCTAGCTTACTGTTGTGTCTTCTATCCATTATTTTTGGTTGGCCGTCTAGTCGCGTACCGGATATATAGCGCACGATCTACGCGCTATACACCATACGGCCGTCGGGCTATATCGCATTTAGCTAACAATTCATGACAGTCGGATACCGTCCTCCATGGCGCAGTTACATAAGCTGCGGGCTAGTTGGCCAGTGCCACTAGCAGTCATGGGTTCGATCCTCCGCAGAGGACCGAAGGATGCGCACCACTGATGAGCCCCAATAGGGCGAAACGGCCGTCTGGTGCTTTTCCGGATAGCTGGTCGACATATCTGAATTGTCGGCTGATTGCGACGAACAAAAATACTCACCAAAATCCTTCCATTCATAAGTAATACCAATTCGCCCGTACGGATTCCACAAAATGCTATGTCGATTCATAGCTGCCGTAACCGGGAAGTCCTGACACCGGAAGGCCGACCGCTGTCATCTGCATGGCAGGTGCCTGCATGGCAGTGGAGGATGCGTCGGGCTATATGGCATTTAGGTAACAATTCATGATAGTCAGATACCGTCCTCCATGGCGCAGTTACATAAGCTGCGGGCTAGTTGGCAAGTGCCACTAGCAGTCATGGGTTCGATCCCCCTCAGAGGACCGAAGGATGCGCACCACTGATGAGCCCCAATAGGGCGAAACGGCCGTCTGGTGCTTTTCCGGATAGCTGGTCGACATATCTGAATCGTCGGCTGATTGCGACGAACAAAAATACTCACCAAAATCCTTCCATTCATAAGTAACCAAAAAAGTTTTCTTCATGTTGTATTTCGTTTCCCAACTTTGTTTTGCCATGTTTCTGATAGCATATTATCTATAATCTGATTATATATATATAATTTGATAATGTCATTTCAAGTGATTAGCTATTGTTTGGCATCCCCGGTGTGGCTGCGCTGGA